AGGACACAGGAGGCCTTCAGATCAACTCTTCTGTAGTTTATACTGATGTTTCACTGTATCTGCTTTATTGACCTTAATACAGTTGTAGTTGTCACAGGAATGATGCTAACAGTAAGCAAGTACTGAAGTCTGAAGTCACAGGATGGATCTGACAGGAAGGCCTACTGATCTGAATATCAGCTCAAGGAGCACCTGCTTCACACTGGTGGCACTAACTATAACAATTAAAATCACTGTCTTCCAGGAAAGGTATCCTGGCCACTCTTCTCAATCAGTAAGTGGTTTTACTGAATGTTTTCCTGATATTTAACCTGCATCCAATAGAAGGGCAAACAGAGTCTTCCAAAAGAAGCCAAGTATCAGCTAATACAGAAAGCGTACGTTGTTGCTCTGTGTTTTTTCAAGCCACTAATGAAAAAGTTAACTTACTAGTTTACTAGAGCCTTACAAGTTTCACTGTAGGAATTCAGGTATCTTGGAGAAGCTATACCGACTGCCAATTTCACACTAGTAGTAGTAAGGAAAATGCAGAATAAATATGAGAGCAGTTCATTGAGCAATTTGCAGAAAACAAGAACCAGAACATGCAGCCTGGAAAACTACAGTCTCCCAGGAGTTAATGGAAAACCCCTTCTCCACAAGCAAAGAAGGTGAAGCTTCAAATTTCTCTCCCAAGAGATGCAGACCACAAGAAAAGTTTGAAAGCAAGAGGTATACAGAAGCTGTGAGCTACAGTTCTCCACTGCTTACCAAAAGATCTCAAGGCTTTTTCTAATATACGTCTCGTCCATCAGTTTCTGAGTGACTTGCCCAATCATTCAAACAGACTTCATAGTTTTTCTGTCATCACTACGGCAGTGAAAATGACCTTAGTAGGTATTTCAAGACTCACTCAAGTGGATACCCTCCAAATCGCACAAGCACCCATAAAAGGAGCAATAAATTATGTTTCTTACCAACAGAATGCATCAAGTAGCAAGAGGGAGGAGAGATGTCTAATGCTTATGACTTCTGGCTCTACAGTCTGGTTCACACTGACCAACTTAAGGCACCTTTTCATGTCACGTCTCATCAAAACACAGCTCAAATGTTGCATCCTCTTAACTATGTTACTGCTAATCTACCCTAAACTGTTTCTCTCCCATAGCATTTCACACTTGCAATCATCCAAAATTAAGAGGGTAGTTGGTAAAAACAACACTTCCAAAAACACTCTTCTGCTTTCCACTACTCCCTTCAACTTTAATCACGCAATTAAGCATTGTCAGAATGCTCCTGGTTTGCAGCTGTCTCTGCTCGACTTTCATTTTGGTATGCAATTTAACTACCTCTTCTCTGGGTTCTTTGTACTAATCCAGTTTTTTGGACCAGCCTGATTTAGATCTTGGACTTCGCTTTTTGCACTTCTTTTCTTCAAGGTGAGCTCTGAAAGTTAATTAAACCAGAAATATTTTTACTGCATATTACACTTGTTTTTTCATCCATTTCAGATTATTTATGGATGTGTATTTTTATGAGACTCATAATTAACTTCTTCAAGCAAAATTAAACAGCTTGCTGACACATTCAGCTTTAATCACAACGTTCCAATTTATCTAAAAGGGATGTTATCTGCAAAACCAAAGTTTAATTGCCTGGCCTGAACTGCCACAGTATACAGACAAGGACCACGGGAAGTCCTGCCTCTTACATAGAATCATGCTCACTATTTGTCTCTCTTCGTGTGTTGTGGTAGAACTTCAGTTAAGGATATGTCTTTTAACATCTTACTCCAAATGCTTAAAAACCTTCCAAGGTTTTTAAATTACTTGCAATTGTCTCTCAGTAATAGATACAAGATTCTTACCCCTTCTCATATATTCTTTCACATTTCCTGTGATGTGTGAAACAATGTCCTGCTTTTCCAAACGCCTGCATAAAGCCTGCTATGACCAAACACCACTCATAAGTTCAGTCTATTCCTGACTTCTATTTATAAAAGGAAACTATCCTATTCCCTTACTTTATACATAGCTATATATATACCTATATGTGTATATAAACTATCTTATCGCCATCTCTATCAAGTGATTGACAGTCCTCACAGAAAATGATCTACATTTCCTTGTATTTTCTTAAAAAGTAGTAATAAAAAAGGGCTACTCCAAAAGTAATACCTTCAATTTTATTACGTTGGCCCATGATGTCAATGGTGGATGTTGGTGGGACAGCAGTAGAGGTTGAATCTTCCTGACAATATCCCTTACATGTTGTTGCCATTTGACAGATGGCAGCAGAAGGACACTCTGACAAAACAACATCTGACGTGGAAGTGTGAATGAAACAAAGGCATGTCACTGAAGTCTGCCATGTGGAAAAAATGGCACCCACTGGCATTCATCGATGCTTGCTGAACATTTATAGAGACCCAAAAGGAAATATGAGCACAATGAGGGTGATACATTTCAGCAGTGGTGACAGTGACAGCGGTTCACCTCCACGGGTACAGATTTTCACCCAGAAAAGAAGCTCACCCACTCAGGGTCTTGCTCATCGCTGGCAAAAATGCAGAGCTTTTGGTGATGTGTTTGTAACTGTGAATCTGCCCTAGTGTTAAAGTGTTTTTGCCATTCAGATGGAAATAAACAGGAATCATTACTTTTGGAGCCACTTACATAACTATCTTACACAGACTTTGAACCATACTTTTACATGTTAAGATACAAGTAGTTAGACGAGAGTCATTTCAATTACTTCATGAACTCTGAGTTCTCCAAGTATCCATCCTATCTACCAATCAGGTCAATACAAATTAAATTGCACAGGGCCCAGCTGGGAAATAAAGGACGTATAGATTCACTGCAGACTGACCACCAACATAGCAATGGCCATGCTATCATGGAAAAACATTGGAGACAATTTTGCACATAATTACCAGAAACTTAGACTGGCCATAATGAAAAGATAGTCATGAAAAGAAATTTTGCCTAAGACTGTGAACGCATAAGACTTTTTTGGACGCAGACTGTACAATAGTAGAACACCGAGCTCTTCAATGTGGAGTAACAGCAAAAATACATAGAGGTTGTATTTTTTTCCATACGCCTAGCTTCTCGTGCTTGAAGGCTGGCTACAGCCAGAAGACAAAGAATCACCCATCAGTCTGGCTTAGAACATTACTGATGTTTTCTTTCTCATACACACATCATTCAACTTTCCTGTATTACTCTTCTACTGGCAGTCTCCCTGTACAGAACAAAATAACTAGAGATTCCCTTCACATATGCTCTTTTTATCTGCATATCCAGTGATGTATTTTCCAGTTATTCATTATTTATAGCCTCTATTTTCCTCCTTCCTATCTGTACACCTGATCAGTAATGTATGTATTATTAATATATATAGGTGTGTGCATGGCACCTCACTGACACATAAGGAGGCCACGGGTGCTAACTGTGTCCTTTCCTCCACTCAGCAGGAGGCTCAGACATGCCAGGTACAGAAAGGCAGTCCTGAGCCACCCGGATGAGGTGAGGAAAGCCAGAAGGGGGAAGGAGGGAACCATGCAGCTTGCTGTCACTTGCTGCAGCGCTACAAAGGCTGAAATAGGAATATACAAATGTTATTCCTGCATTCCTGTATTTTGTAAAAACGTGTTCAATTTTGACACGAAAACTTCCTTTTGAATTTTTGTGCCTCTGAATGGAAGCAGCATTTCCTACCTGCCTGCACGCACCACATGGGAAGCTGACACCGCCTGCCCAAGCACATGCATAGTTGATTTCAAGTGTTCTGTGCTGCCTGTGCAACTTATCAGCTTTTTGTATGTAAAATATTTACCTTGTGAACAGCAGGACCACCTCACCTATGCTTGCAGTGATGGAGAAAAGCTGAGATGCAGACTCCAAACTTTTGGGTCAATGGTACAACATGTGGGAACTCATTTCACCACATAAACAGAACCCGTGCCACCCTGATCTTCCTGAAGCCAAGGTACTGTGTTAACACAGTAATGTTAACAGTAGTGTTCTTACAACTCATTGCGAGAGGAAAGCTTCAATACCTGTAAACGATCACTTCTAAACTTTTGACTCACGTGGTGAGTCTAGATGCGGGGACGTTTACAAACACCGTGCAGCAGCACTGATGTTTTTCAGGCACTATGCACTGCGATGGTGACTCACATTTTGAGGCTGTCAGAGAGCCGTGGATATCGGCCACGACCTCTGTCAGAGAAAGCGACCTCAGGGCACGCTACCCCCCCAGCCGTGCTTGCTGCGGTAGCGAGGGCGCACGCCGCCACACGCGGGTGTTCCCCGCTCGCAGCCCCTAGATCTGCCTGATCCGAGAGCTTTCTCTCGGGGGACCCCGGCTCTGGCCGGATTCAGGTGTGTTTCGGCTGAACATCCGCGGGCTGCACGCAGCCCCGCTCCAGCAGTGTCGGCAGCCGGGAGCAGACTCCTCGGGGAACCGGCGCCGAGGCTGCGGACGGAGCAGCGGGCAGGCGGTCCGGCCCGGCCAGCTCCCGCCCGGGGTACCGCGGAGCCTCCCCGGACAGCGGCGCGGGACCACCCTGACACCTCTCCCCGCCTCGCCTCCCGACACGGGGGGGCCGGGACGCCCCCGGCGGCGGCGGCGGCGGCTGCCACGTCCTGGCGGCCGGGGACAGGCGCGCTCGCCGTGGGACGCGCCGCTCTCTTCGGATTTTTTCGGCGGAGGAGGGGCGGGGAGCGCGAAGTTCGGCGCGGAGGCAGCGCGATGGAGGGCAGAGCCCCGCCGCGGCCCCACGCCCCCGCCCCTCGCCCGCGGGAGGCTCCGCGCGGCGCGGCCCCGCTCCGCACCTGGCCGCGGAGAGGGCGCTGCGGCCGCCCGCGCGGCTTCGGCCCCGCGCGGCTCTGCCTACCTGCCCCGCGCATCACCTCCGCCGGCCGCGGGAGGCCGGGGTGGCGCGGGGCCCGCGGCGGGGCCGGAGCCGGCCGTCCCCCGCCCGCCCGCTCGGAAGTAGTTGTAAGGAGGGTTACCTGTCCTATATTGACGTATCCGTATTTGCTAGCTATCCGGTTGGCCTCCGGCAGCCCCCCGGCTATCCGCACAGCCCAGTGGTTGGTGTAGAGGCGCGTCCTGCAGGCGGGCAGCAGGAACCCCAGCACCAGGGTTAACCGGCAGAGAAGGTCTCCGCCGCCTCCGCCTCCCCAGCAGCAGCGGCGTTTCCAGCCCATCTTCTGCTCCTCCGCGCGCAGCTCCCGCGAAACTTCTCCTTCCTTCTTCCGAGGCTCTCCGCCTCACCTCCGGGCGACAGCGGCGGCGCGTCCTCCGAAGTTAGCCCGAGGAGGAAACTAGAAAGAGCCTGGAATAGTGCATTGAACTGCCCGCGGTCGAGCGATGAGGGGCTGGGAATGGTGACTACGAGCGGCAGCAGGGCTCGGTGCCGTCCCCTCCTCCCGCTGCTCTTCAGGGATTAAGTAACTTGCTCGGAGAGCTTCTCGCACAGTTCCGGAGCGCCAGCCTTCTCCGCTGTCTCCCGCTACATGGAAGTCCTCTGCCTACGGGGAGGAGGTTCCTTCTCCCGTTTCCCTCCGCTCTGACTTCCCCTGCCCGTGCTCCTCTGCCTTCCCTTCCCCTCTTGCCCGGAGCCCGGGAGCAGCGCGGCGGCGGCGGCAGGCGGTGTGTGAGTGTTGGCAGCTGAGCGCCTCAGTTCACTCCGGCTCGGCCACCTCCCTCTCCCCTCCCTCCGTCCTCCTCCCTCTCCTCCTCCTCCTCCCGCCCTCGCTCCCGCCCGCCCGGCAGCTCCGTGGGCCAGGGGAAATGGCAACCGCGCCGGCCCCGCCGCCCCCCGGCCGCGCTGCCGGGTCCGCGGCTCCCGGTCCCGCCGCCCCCGCGCTCCCCCCCCCTCGGCTCCGGAGGCCGCCGCTCCGCCGGCCGGGCCGCGGGAACCGCCGAGAGGTGCGAGGCCTGCGGCGAGGCCTCGTGTCTGGCGGCGGCCGCGGCTTCCCCAGCCGTGTGTGTCCCCGCGGGGGCCGGGGGCGAGGAGAGGCCGCGGGGGAGCCGGGCCCGGCGCGTGGAGCCGCGGCAGCGGGCCGAGATGGGCAGCAGGACGCGGGCAGCGCGGGAGCCGCTTCTCCCGCCCGCAGCGGCGGCGCCGCCCGACCCCTCGCGAGGGTCTGCCTGCCTGCCTGCGGCTGCCGGCCCCGGCTCAGCGCGCATCGTTTGACGTTATTCGGTGTTAAAACGTCCCGCGAGGGGTCACTGCGGTCCGGCAGGGAAGCCGGACGGTGGAGCTCGTCGGGAAAGCCCGGCGGGAGGGAACGGCGGAGCGGGCCGGATGGCAGGGTGCGAGAGGCAGCCACGTCTGCAGCGGGCTGGGGGCTGGTGTTGGGCTGCCGGGGCTCCCAGCCCCATTCCGGTCCTCGCTTCGTTACAGGAAAGTTAGGAGCGGTCCGTGAAACTCAGCTGTGATACACTCGTCGTGAGGATCCTTCGCTGCTTGTGGAGGAGTTGTGCTTGAGGAGGACTGCTAGCAGTTTGAAGTGTCAGTGGTGGGTTTTGTTTGTTTCTGAGGAGCCTATGGTGTCCTGCAAGGCTGGGCAGCTGTCCTCCTTATCTCAAGGATCTGAGATAGGAGAAGTTAAATGTTTACAGAAAATGGTACAGTAACCTGATGTGCCTTTTCTTCTCCCCCAAGACCTGAGCTCCAAAGCTGTTCTTTCCTAGTAAAGTAGAAAAAAAAATAAAAATGCAAGCAATCAATATGCTGCCTTCCATTTCAAACTGTTCCCTGCCCTAAGTTCATTCATTTTTCCCCCAAACATCATTGTTATATAAATATATAATGTCCTCCTATGACTTCTGATGACTTTTAAAGGGGAGAAAATGGGCAAATCCATTCTCTACTTACTTGTTTTAATTGCAATAAAGTAACTGGACAGTGGTTAGCTGTTCCCTGTTAGTATTATTTTCCCTGCAGTGTGCAGTATCATCTGCGTGGTGTATTAAAACACACATTTTTTTGACATTTGTAGTTCGAAGTCTGACTGTGGGTTACTTTCCCCAGGATTCTATGGGTAATGGCTCAAATAATTCTTCTACTGAAACCTCAGTCCAACACTAACTTGATGCAGGAGCAGCAGCGTTAGGCCCAGACAGCTACATCTTGCAGCAAATAAAGTATGCATTCATTGAATATGACATTAAATATCCTCTATCAATTAGCACTCCTTATTGACCGGTTCAAAAGAAATTACACAAGTCAGATGTCTTCTCTATCTTGAGTGTTTTAAGTATGTTTAATCATGAATGGCCACCTTACTGAAGTACATAGCAATGAATGGGTCACAAACTCTGAAGTCTGAGTTCATTTAGAAAGGATAAATTAGAATCTATTTTCTGATCTTGGTGAATTTTGCTGTTGTTTTGACTGTCCTGTTTCCTGCCATAGATCTATGGGGTTTTTTTCTTCCACTAAAGGCACAAGCTATACACAAAAAAATAAAGCTGCTCTGTCATTTCAGTATCTACTTCCAGCCTTGGTTATGTGAAAAGCATTTCATATATAGGAACCAAAGCCACGAGGAGTAGACTTTATAAAAACACTGTTTTCCTATGAACAAATAAACCCAAGTGTCTCTTTGTAATGCTGCATTGTATGGTATAGCTTAACAACAAACTTACCTTAAAGCAGCCTTTGATAAAAGGGAGTGACAGTCCTTAGATACATGTTGTGTATGAGCAGAGTCCTGTTTGCTGAGCCCATAGAGGCAGCTGGCTGAAAAAGGTTATAATGCAGAGTGTATGAAACCGCTTCAGTATGAACCCCAAGCTGTGCAATTTTGCAGAATGCTCATCACAGGCCAGTCCATTGTGGGCACTTCTTTCCCAGTATGAAGTGAGAATGCTGGCAATCCTAAGCTGTGCCATGTCCTGATAAAAGATGGTTCTTTTCAACAGGGCTAGGAGATGGGAGTGGTGAGAGCCCCGAGGGGATGACCAGCAATGCTGTAGTTCTGTTCAGCATACCTGCTGTATGCACGCCACACATGGTTTGTAGCTGAGCTTGCTTCTGTACTCTGTGAGAGGCCGGATAGCTTCTCTGTATACTCCACACCAGGGATTTTTCACCTCCGAGCAAGTGCAGAGGAGAACTGATCCTTTTCATCACTTATCATCACAGCTTGTTCCTTTTATCTCATTCTTTTTCTACTTCTTTATCCCTCTGCTATGATCAAAATCAATATCTGACTGTTCAAAATGCAAGTTTCCATGTATTTCTATCTCGTCCCTTACTTATTGATACTAATACCTAAATGCCTCCTCTACCGTTAGTTCCAAATAGTTGTGATCCAGGATGTGACCTCTGTCTCTGTTCTCACTGCCTCTGTTCTCACTATTTTGCCCACCTAGTCCTGAAACTCTTCTCCCCTCTGAAGTCCTTCTCCAGCTCTGAAAATCCCTCTGGCTCACTAGTCCTTGCAGCCCAGGCTCTGGTTGATTTTAGCATCCCAGCACTTTTCCATTTGAGTTTTGTAGATCAGTGCTCCAGAGATGTGTTATTCACCCTCAGGTCATAATTAAGGAGGAAACCACTATTCAAAGTAAGCAACAGCCCAATAATAAGTCCTGCAAGTAGATACACTGGGCCATGAACACCTTCCAGAACAGAGAACTATTTCAGAAGGAGCTGGAGGCATGTGTTCATCAAATTTCAGTACAAGAGATTCTGGAGTGCAGTAGATTAAATAGTATTCTTCAGGGAAGAGGAGAGAGAGCTTCAAAGAGTGGAGGTTGTGTCAGGGAGTGATTGAGAGTTTGCTTTAAAAAGATGGATAATTTTGGAATCCAAAGTAGCATTAACATTTCTTGGTTTCCGACCATAGCTGGTTCTTACAAACAGTGCAGGTGGATCACTTGACAGCAGCCATCATATGAGATAGTTTGCTGCTATGCAGTCCTTTCATCTGCCATTTTTCTGCGCTTCAGGGTTGTCCTCAGTTTTATTTACTTTTAATTTCATCTGGTTTTAAAAGACTAAGGTTTTGGGAGTTATCCATTTATCTATCTATCTATCTATCTATCTATCTATCTATCTATCTATCTATCTATTTTTATACAAAACACTGTTTTTGCACAGTTTTTATTAACAACTTTTGCTTGGCAAATTCTCTTCTCCTTATTCACAGAAAAAGCATGTGATACTGTTTTGAGTACATCACTGCTTTCATGAAAAGCCATAAATGCTTGTCCATATTTCAAGGAACATTTTCCACCTGTACATTAGAGACCTTTCTGAGTTCAGAGGGACTTTTCAGTATCCTTTCCATGTCTAAAGGGGAACTACCAGGAAGAGGGAGTCATACTTTTTAAGAGGGACTGTTGTTATAGGACAAGGAAAAATGGTTTCAAATTTAAAAGGGGTAGATTTAGGTTGGGTATAAGGAGGAAGTCTTTTACAGTGAGGATGGTGAGGCATTGTAACAGATTGCCCAGAGATGTGGATGCCCCGTCCCTGGAGACTTTCAAGACCAGGCTGGATGGGGTTCCAGCTGTAGTTGTCCCTGTTCATTGCAGGGGAGTTGGACTAGGTGGTCATTAAAGGTCTCTTCCAAATCTAAAGATTCTGTGATTCTTTGACTTCCTGAAGATTATTACTCACACTGTTCCTAGTATGTTGTCTGTGGAGTCCATGCCCCTATTCCTGTGCAGTCCAGAGCAAAGCATGAATTTCATGTAGGAATTTCTGTTTCCATTTCTTACTGGTCAGTGTGGGAGCAAGTACAATAACAGACAGCAATCTTTATTGAGTCTTATGGCAGTGCAGAGGAGGAAAGTTTCCTGCCCTGGATGAAGACAACAAGAAACAGAAGGGAAAAAGAGTTTGGGACAGAAAAAAGAAACTGAAAGAAACTGGGATGGGGATGTATCATAGCAACTCTATTCAGGTTGTGCTCCAACTCAAGCCTTAGGTTTTTCTAAGGAATGTAATGACAAGTTCAGTGATTCATGTAAGGAAATAAAGGCTAGCCATGGTTCTGGCTGGGGATGTGAGTGAAATGTCTGTTGATAGTGAGAAAAGAGAATCTGAGTCTGCACACTGGAATAGATATGAGTCTGGGCTTTTGCTGATTAGTGATAATTTGACCCAAGGCCTTCCTCATTCGATTATCATGAGGATTTTATTTTGTGCTTATGAATAAGACAGTATTGCATATTCTTCCATTCTGTTAACCCTGTGTTTTCTCATACCTTTCCTTCTTCAATGGTATTTATTGTCTTTTTGAAGGCATGGCTCCCTGCTCATTCTAATTTTGATTTACTAGTAGGTATAATTTGAAAAGATACTAATCTTAATCTGAAGGGATTTCAATTGCCTATACTGACTCCTTTGCCAGTGTGTTCATGTTTGTCATTTCCCATATGTACTAATCCATCTCATTAGGCTAAAAACTCTGTCATTAAATCGTGTTAACAAAGCATATATCTTTCTTTTTTCCTTTTTCTCCTTTTTTTCTTCTGTTATTCTTTTTTAATATAATTTCAGACCGCTTTAGTAGCAAAACACAATACGCAGCCAGGATAAACGGCATGACGGGAAAGGAAGGGTGCTGAAAGTAGGGAGTCTTTTTCAGGTGACTTCACTGCCATCCTATAACTTCAGATCCTGAGGGCTTTTTTCAGAAGAACTGCATTTTCCCTTTCCAGCTTCTCTCTGGATTGTAAAGTTTCAAGAATATGATCTTAAGCGCATTTAGAGAATGGATGTCTAAATAGCATTCCTAAGTGTGAAGCTCAGAATGGTAGCTGTGGAAATTATCTTGGGCCCCTTTAATTTGATGGTGGAGAAATAGTTTA